TGACTTAACAGCAGTCGCTGACGTTACTGAGGGCTTACTATGTACCAACCTGCTAACCTGTATGAGCACCTTTAATCCTCACAACGACTCCGTTAAGGTACTCTTACCATCCCATTTTACAGATAAGGGAACCAAGGCACAGACAGGTTAAGAAGTGTGCCCCAGATCATACGACCAGTCACCAGTGGAGCCGAGATCTGCAGCTACCCCAGTTGGTCTGACCCCAGCGCCAAGCACACTTGACCACTAGCCCGGCCTGCCCTGGAGTTGGGGCCTGGACCCTGCACTCTGACTTCTGAGCTGAGAAGCAGGGGAAAATGGAGAGTAGCCAAATGATTAAAAGGACAGTGCAGAGGGGAGATTTCTGTAAACCACAAACTGAGGTGAAGGACTGACTGCAAAAAGTTGGAAGTAAGGTTCCTTGGGGTTAGCTGCACATGAAGTCAGCAAAAAACCAACCAACCAACCAACCAACCAACCAACCAACCAACCAACCCAGGTTTGCTCATGAACATACACCAAATCCTACACTTAGCCCAGCTGCTTCCAGAAATTGTTGCAGCCTACTTGCTAAGCAAGCTAAACAGGGGCATGAGTTGCCAGGAAAAGGGGCATGAGGACTTGAGTCCCTCGAAATCCGCATGTTGAAGCCATAACCCTCAGTAACCTAAGAATGTGATTTTATTTGGAAACTGGGTCACTGCAGATGTAATTAAGATGAGCAGGGTGAGCCCTAATCCAGTATGACTGGTGTCCTTATAAAAGGGGAAATTTGGATACAAATGAGCACATAGGGAGAATGTCTTGTGAAGATGAAGGCAGAGACTGGGGTGACTCAGTGGAAACCAAGGGTCGCCTCTTGATCTTGGGGCTGTGAGTTCAAGCCCCAGGTTGGGTGTGGAGATTCCTTAAAACAAAAATGGGAGGGAGTGAGGGAAGGACCAAGGGTTACCAAAGATTGCCAGCAAACTACCAGAAGTTAGGAGAGAGGCCTGGAACAGCTTCCCTCTCAGCCTCAGAAGGAACCAAGCCCTGATTCCCAACTTTTCACCTCCAGAACTGGGAGACAGTAAATTTCTGTTCGAGCCACCCAGTTGGTGGCATTTTATTACTGCTGCCCTAGGACACTAGTAAGTGATGCATGCCATCTCTCCCCACAAGACCACAGGTGAATTTTTATCAAGTCCTTAAGTAAGCAAAGAGCCTCCTCTGAAACTTCGTTGTACTGAGTTGTACGAATGTCTAAGACTATCTCTGTACCACAGTTGTGAGTTAAAAACAAACAAGTGTTTGAAATTTCATCTATCTCCAATTGCCCAGGCACCGGGGATTAACTTTGCTTTTGAAATGAAAAACAAATTTTAACAATCAAGGAGCTCTTCCTCTTCCTTTACTCTTAGAAGCCAGTCCTGATTGTATCAGATTCTTCCTGTGACCGGAAGAAACCCGTTCCATCCCACGAGGTCCCACGGGACCCCTCACCCATCACCGGGTCCTGGTTCTGGGGCTTGAAACCATTATCGAGATGACTACAAGCCTCTCAGCTTCAAAGTGGAGACAGTGCTCTAAAACACTGGTGCTGGCTACAGGCAGTCACCCACCTTCAAATATGCTCACACAGTCAAATCTGCAAAAACTGTTCAAGTCCTCGTTTAACCCGCGCCTTACTCTGAAAACACAGGCGCCATCGGTTGTGAGTGAATGGCTGTGGTTTTCAAGGGAAGCAGGTCTGCCCTGGGGAATTCCGGATTCTGTTTTCAGATAATGATTGGCCCCACTAAGAAATGAAACCAAAGCAGTACCTCTTTTGATACCTGGAAAATCCCCCACTCCAAGACATTTTTGCAAATGTACAAAAATTATCCTCTACAACCAGAATCTCCTACAACTCAAATATAAGCCACCGTAATTATCTATTTAAAAAACAAACACTACAAACTTCTGATGTTCCTGGAGGACAAAGCACTCCCTCTTTTCGAAGTTAACAGCAGCTAACTTTTATTAAGTGCTTCGAGACGTGACCGGCACATTTCTAAGCCTCTGACGTGGAATGAATGAATTCTCAACCCTATGTGGGGGGCACCCTTGATGATTCCCATTGTGCAGGTGAGGAAACTGAAGCAGAGACAGGTGAAGAAACTGGCCCAAGGTCACAGAGCTGTAAGCAGAAGAGCTGGGATTCAAAACCAGGCGGTCTGGCCGCAACACACCACACCCCCTTAGCAAGCAAACAACCGGGGCGGACTCATAAACGAGAAAAGCGAATGGAGGGAGTGGGGGCAGGTCAAGGAGGGTGGCTTGAGAACAGAGGCAAAGGAACAGCAATTACATTCCAGGCACTGGGCTGGCGCTTCACGCAGGCTTTGCCCATTTAATTCGCACAAACCGTGAAATAAGCAGCACTCTCCCACCTGACATTACTAAGTGATGGCCCTAAACCCAGGTCTGCTGACGGCAAATCCCAGTGCCGTTTTCCCCCCAAGTCAACGTTTCAGATTGTAAGCTCGGTATTACGGATGGTACAATCTGCTTTTTTAAAAGTCAATCCAGGGCGCCTGGGTGGCTCAGTTGGTTAAGCAACTGCCTTCGGCTCAGGTCATGATCCTGGAGTCCCGGGATCGAGTCCCACATCGGGCTCGCTGCTCAGCAGGGAGTCTGCTTCTCCCTCTGACCCTCTTCCCTCTCGTGCTCTCTATCTCTCATTCTCTCTTCCTCAAATAAATAAAATCTTAAAAAAAATAAAAGTAAATCCAGCATTGGAGAGCAGTGGTGCTGAGGTCAGGAGTGGGGGTGCGGGCATCACCCCACGCCAGCTGCACGCTGGGTCGGAGAACCTGGGTACAGCACAGGGGCTTAATGTGCTAGCACAGGAGTCAGGAGGCTCAGGTTCTGTCTGGTTGCACTTCTGGCACCAATTAACTGTGTGGCTTTAGCCAAGTGCCCTAACCTCGCTGGGCCTCTATTTTGCTTTAGTACAAATTGGATAGACGGATGCCCCACCTGCCTACCTCTCTCAAGTTGATGTAAAAAAAAAAAAAAAAAAGTATTACCAAATACATACAAACTTACAACCAGATAAAAGCTCCTTATGCTTTTTTGTTTGTTTTTTAAAAGGTGTTACCAACAAAGGTGAACTGGCTGTGAAAACTGTAAGGTGTTCCACAGCGGATCATCGCCGGAACGAAACTACCCAGGGCACCCTAGCAGCTATCATGGTCCAGCAGGCCCACACATGCCAGCTGGGGAAGGCTACACCAGGAGACTGACCCCGTATGAACTTCATCCTCCCCCCTAGGCAAGCGGGGCTCAACCCTCCATGGAGGTGTGGCCGGTCCTTGGCCCCCAGAGTTTCCCCCAAAGCAGGTTTGCCAGTCCAAATAGGTAATGCCGAGAAGGGGAAAGAAGTCCTCCCAGAGCGAACAGCTACACCTCCCTCCAGGCCCTGGTATGCTTTGCAAGGTGGGTGGCATCCAGCGGAGGAGGGGAGGGTGCCATCTGCCACAGCACGGTGCATTGGGTTTCACACACACATACCCCGGTTCCAGGATCTGAAAAGGTTGTAGTGCAGCACGCACCATTCCTTAGGAAGCAGAAGATTCAGGTGAAGGTCGGGACTGGTTAAATGAGGGGGAAGAACCTTCCATTTTTGTTTTGGACAGAAGCCCACCGAGACTCTCGGTAACCCCCACCCCATTAGTTCCGGCCTCAGGAAGAGGAAGGGATCAGATCTGCATAACAGTGAATCACAAGCACTTTGGCACAATGACCCCTCTGGGAGAGGGTGGAGAAGCTCGTCTGGCAACTGCCTACACAAACAGGGCAATTCTGAAGAGCAGCAAACAAACCTGTCTAGCCCCAGTTCCCGTTTTGCATAAGATTGCACCCCACAAAAACATCCAAGGAACACCTGTTGATCGATACCGACTGCTAATACTATGGTTTGGGCCAAGATACTAAAAAGGTCCCTTTGAAGGAACTCTGGGTAAGGCATTTTTGTAAAAATTGGTAATAAGTGTCTTTAGACTCCAAGAGCCAACGGGAGCATCACACAGATACTCCATCAGTCAATCTCAGTGAACTTTGCTTCAAAAGGATGTTAAACCGAAGGATATGAAACCATAAACCAGAGGGCACTTGTTAAGTCACTAGGTGACTGTCAGGGTACCTGCTTTCTTTATGCTCATAAGAAGTTACACATGGGGCACCTGGGGTTAATACAGTCGGTTAAAGGACTGACTTCAGCTCAGGTCATGGTCTGGGGGTCCTGGGATCGGCTGGGTGGGGCTCCCTGCTCAGCGGGGCCTCTGCTTGTCTCTCTCCCTCTCCCCCTCCTTCCCGCTCCTGCTTTCTCCCTCTCTCTCTCAAATAAATAAAACCTTAAAAAACAAACAAAAAAAGTTACACATGTTCCAGAGGGAGGAGGAGGGTCGTTAGGCGCCGGGGCTGGTTAGGTCACAGCAGGACCGTCTGCCAATTGGCCTGGAACTGAACACTGGCCACGGCTCCTTCATCCAGGGTAAGCAGCAAAAACGAACTGTAACTCGGTTGAAATCTGGGCAGGGGCCATCACGTTAGACCGGGGAGCATGGGTTAAGAGAAAGGCGTCCTCCCTGTGGCCAAGGCCTCTTTTGGATCCTCTGGTTCCAGAAAAAGACATCTCCGTGTCACGAGGTACAGAACGAAGACCGTAGGAAAGAAAACTACCAGCATCCCTTCTCCCCTCCGCAGCCCCGAACTACTCTTGACGGCCATCAAACACAGGAAAGGTATCCTCTACAACCGAACGGATGATCTCACCTACTTCTTTCTCAAACACCTAAAAGCCATAGCAACCGCACTAACAGCTTCCGTTTAGATTCACAAAAAGGGGGAGGCAAGCGTGGTCCCGAAACTGCAACCACCAGGGGCCAAGGGTGGAAGCAGAGCGGGTGTGGTCCGTCACAAGCCTGCAGGGCTCCTGGCCAGCTCCCCCAGCGCTCGCGTCCCCGCTCTCCTGTTACCTGGTTCGCGTGGCCGCCGGCGTCCAGCACCTGAGCCGTCGGTTCTGCCGGTGCCTTCTCCTCTTCCCCGGCTGCCAAGGGGCTACTTGCAGCCGCTCGGGGGTCCCCGCCATCCCCCGGCGCAGCCTGGCTGCTGTCGTCCACACTGGCGCCGACTCCTCCGGCGGAGGAGGCGGCGGCGGCGGCGCCGAGCAGCCCGTGGGCCCCGTCGGCTTCCCCGGCCGCCACGCTGTGCACGAGCCACGCATCCACTCGGGTGCGGGGAATGAAGGGGACCCCCAGCGCGCGAACCTCCCGAAGCAGCCGGCCCTCGGGCTCCGCCTCGGGGTCCGGCTCGCGGCCTTTGGGGTGCAGCTGGTCCGCGCGCCCCCACCCTCCCGAGGCCGGGAAGGGGCTGAGCGCGTAGGCGGAGCTCGTCGGGCCACCAGCGAGCAGGAGCTCATCCCAGAGCAGGGTGGGCGGCGGGAGCAGCAGGTAGAGGTCCAGGTCCACGTCCAGGCGGAGCCCCGCCAAGCTCAGCAGGATGGTGAGGTGCAGGAGGCCGCCGCCGTCCGACCACCAAGGCTTCAGGTACTTCATCTCGCGCCGCGCGCCCGGGACGCCCCTGCCGGCGCCCGCGGGTCCCTGCCCTCCTGCCGCCGCTTTGGCACGTGCGGGCCCCGCGCGCCGCGGGCACCTGCCCGGAAGAGACAGAAGCGAAACAATGGACCCGGGCGCGCAGCGGCCGTCGCGGGCTCTCGGGGCCGGACACAAAGGCGCTCCCACGGCAGCCGGCGCGGCGTCTGGGGGTGGTCAGGAGAGGCGGAAGAGGAGCCACCTGCAGGTAGTGTCAGCCCGCCCGGCCACCCTGCAGCCTAGCGCCTGACCAGGCCCCGCCCCCAGCTAGGCCCCGCCCCGAGCCGCGGGCGCCGCCGCCGGGGACACGCCCACAGCCGCCCCGGGCTCGGCGGCCGTGGGAGGAGCCCGCAGGGGGCGGGGCTCCCCGGCTCAAAAGCTCTTCATTCGGGCGAAACGCAAAGCTTTCTGGGACCAGGGGGTTGTTCTGGGCCCGAGGTAGTCCCGATTCAGTGCTCGTGGGCTGGGCGACTGTAGGTGAATGTGCGGGGTGAGGTCAGGAGTAAAGGTGGGTGGGAAGGGACAGGATGTGTAGACTGGGGGAAAAGTAGAGGCACTGGGCTTGCATGCAAAGGGCTACCACCAAGTGAGAACACTGGCTGGCACAGTGAGTTCGGGAGTCCGACCCTTGATTTCATATCCCAGCCCCACCGTCAGCCAGTCGTATGACCTTGAGTAAGTTGCTTAACTTCTCTGTACCTCAGTTCTCTTATCTGTAAAATGGGGATAATAGTGCCTGTCCAATAGGGATGTGGTTAAGTCAGACGAAATATTCTATGTAAAGTCCAGAGTTTGACATATAGATTCCACAGCTGCTGTTGAGATCAAACAACACTCCACCTAAACCCCTGTTCCTCCTCACACACACCCCACACCTCAGCCCTCCAGGTCCTGCGCTCCAACATCACAACCCCTCACTGTTCCCTGGACACTCCCTGCACACTGCCAGGCCTTCCCTTCTGGTCTCCTTTGCTTGTTAAGTAATCGTTAAGAGCACCAGCTCTAGAATTACCCTGTTTGAGTTCAGATCCTCCACTCCACCTCTTACTACCCTGGACCTTGGACAAATTGTCTGTGCCTCAGTTTCCTCACTGTAAAGTGGGACTGATAATAGCACGTCCCTAGCACACCTATTATGAACCCCAAATGAGATGCATCTAAACCACCAACTACAGCGCTTGGTATAGGAAGTGTTTTTTGAATGTTACCCATTATTTATGTTACCCATCCTCCAAGGCTTAACCCCAAAGATATATCCTCTGAGTTTTCACCATTTGGAATTAATCTCTTCCCCGATCTGTTCTCCCACAGTGCTTTCTCCATATGCCAACATTACAACACTTGGCACATTCCACTTTGTTTTGTAGTTGAGGATTGATTTCATTTGCCCATTGTAAATTCTTGAGGGGGGAAAAAACCTGTTTGGCTCACTTCTGTGCCTACATGGTACTCAGTACTGGGCCTTGCAAATGTAGCTTTTACTATAACTCTCACTCCCTTCCTCGGATGGGGGACAGAGAGGAGGAGATGACCAACTGAGGGTTAGCAGTTGTGTAAGGAGTTGAGCAAGAAAGCCTTGTTTTTAAAGGTCCCTTTCTCTACCTGGTTCTCTCTTCTGGGCCTAGTGTGGAAAGTTCACATGAGATTTCATTTTTCCCACTGAGAGCCGTGGGGGCAGAAGCAGGCTTCTTAAAGTTGCTTCTGCTTTAAACCCTGAAGCATGGGTTAGGAGGTGACAAAGAGGCTAGAAGAGAGATGCTCGCCAGATTAGTGAGGTTTGGGACCAAAGCCTTGTTCACAGCACTTAGTCCCCGGACAGGGGATTCAGGTTCTGGGTTCAGTTCATGTCCACTGAAGTCAGGTTTTTTTACCAAGCACCTACTAAATTGCCTGATGCTGAGAGATTAGATAGAGATGTTTGACATACTCAGAAACAAGAGAAAGAATGTACTCACATGGCAAAATATTGAGATGTACATGACCCTAAAGGGAGTGTTATAAACCAGGTGAGAACAGAGATGGTGCTTTCTTCAAGGTCATATCTTCCAGAATCTTGCACACAGAGATGGTGCTCAAAATATATTTTTTTCAGTTGAATTGAGGAATTTAGACTTGAGGTGTTTTGAGGGATCTGAATAATAGACTAGCATCAGGAAGGACATTCAGACTTCCTTTGTAACATTAATTGGGAAGGGGGTTGACCCCTCATCTTTAAAAATGTGCTTAGACAATCATATTTGTCAGACTGCTTCATTCAAAAGTATCTTAATTCTAGCTTACAGATTGGTGAAGAGGAGAGCACATAAAGGACTCTGCAGTAAAATCTTAAACAGGAGACTCAGAATCAATCCCACACACTCTTGACTTTAATCAAAACAAGAGGTCCCAATTTTAGGTTTGCAGAGAGTGGTGCAATTAGAAAGAATGACTTCTACTTAGGTGTTTAAAAATTTCTAAAATCCCTCCCTCCAGGAATAGCCAGGTGAAAAGTGCAAAGCATTGTCTTGTAAAAGCCTTGAAAAGTCACCTACATTTGTTAAAGTCCTTAAGTCAGTGCTACTCAAAGGATGGTCCAAGACTGGTGCCAGCCCACAGACTGTTTCTGGTTCAAATGAGGTAGGTAATAGAATTGAGAGTGTTTAGCAGTTTCTACAGCAATTTGACATTGTGTGACATCCAACACATGATCAGTGGGTTTGCTTTTTTATGCCACTGTTATGTTTTTAGAAATGAATTATTTTACAAAAGTACTGACCTACAACAGATTGGGGAAAAAAGAAAGCTGGTCCTTCACAAGGATTAGTTTACAGAGCACTGCCTTCAGGGGCATTCCTGTGAGGTAGGCAGGTTCTAGGATGATTCCCAGGGCTTCCCAAGCCCTGAGTGTGGGCCAAACCTAGTGATTTACTTCTAACAAATAGAATTTAGCAAAAGTGATGAGATGTCTTCCTCGAGGTTAGGTTATAAAAGGACTCAGTGGCTTCTTTCTTGCTTGCTTAGTCTGTTCTGGCAGCTATAACAAAATACCGTAGGCCTGGGCGGCTCATAAACAGCAGAAATCTCTTGTTCTGGAGGCTGGAAATCCAAGATCAAGGTGCCAGCATGGGCAGGTTTTGGTGAGAACCCTCTTCCAGGTTGCAGACTGCTAACTTCTTGTTGTATCCTCACAAGGGACAAGGGAGCTTGCTCAGTGGCTTTTATAAGGGCACCATCTCTCATCATAGTTCCACCCTCCTGACCTAACCACCTCCCAGAGGCCCTACCTCCTAATAACATCATCTCGGGGGTTAGATTTCAACTTGGGGGGCACACAAAAAATCAGACCATGGCACTTACCTGCTCTCTCCATCTCTTACTCTCTCCTTCTTGGAGAGAGCTGCCATGTTGTGAGTAACCCTATGTGGAAGCTCAAGTGGCAAGACACAAGAGTCTTCAGCCAATAGCCGGTGAGGACCTGAGGCCTGCCAACAGCCACTTGAGGGAGCTTTGCAGATGTTCTGAGATGTTCTGAGATGACTGTAGCCCTCTCTGCTGCCTCCATTGTACCTTGTGAAAGACCCTCAAACCACAAGACGAAATTAAGTGGCACATGGATACCTGACCCAGAAAGGACTTGAAGATAATAAATGTTCTTTCAAGGGGCACCTGGGTGGCTCAGGCGGTTAAGCGTCTGCCTTCAGCTCAGGTCATGATCCTGGGGTCCTGGGATCGAGTCCCACATCGGGCTCTCCACTCAGTGATGAGTCGGCTTCTCCGTCTCCCTCCATAATCTCTCTCACTTTTGCTCTCTCTCAAATAAATAAATAAAATCTTTAAAGAAAATAAATGTTCTTTCAAGCCACTAAGTCTTGGGGTAACTTGTTACACAGCCCAGATAACTACCACATCCTGCGTCAGAAGGAGACTACAGTTGTGCTGTATGGTTAGTGAGATAGTCAATGAATAATTTATAACCACGAAGCAACATTGCAGTAGTACATTCTGATCCTGAGCTACAATAATCTAGTTTACACCAATTTAAAATGTAAGATTGTAACTTGGCCCGGAAGGTACCATGAAAACATAGCCATCAACAGCTGGTGTGAAGTGAGCACCCAGTGCTTTGTTCTGTGGCAATTTCTTGTAAGTATCTATCCAGAATCAGCAAAGAAAAAAACAGGTTAGAACTTTGGCATCCTTCTTTTGAAAGTTTCTGCTAATGTTAGCCACTGGAAATTTAAATTTGTAGTAGAAATGCAAAGATTAAGCAAAATAGCCTATTAAAAGTCCAAGACATGAATTAAGATAGAAGTCATTTTATCTAGGAGGAAGAATTCAGCATAGCTAGTTTCAAAGCAGGCATAATCACTAGAACTTAAAAGACCCTGCAGTTGTTGGACATTTTGCCAAAGGCTTCCGCGAAATAGATTTATGAATAACCTCGTTTGCTGGCTAGTACCCACCTTGGTGATGATGAATCAACTGATACCTAATCAAGAGGAAGAGTTTGTCCTCATTCTCTTGTTAGTCTGTAACCTTCTGAAAGTTTGACTATGAAGCTGTTGTTTTGTTTTTAATTTTATTTATGAGAGAATGATAGAGAGAGCACCGAGCGAGGAGGAGAGGGCGAAGCAGGCTCCCTGCAAGCAAGGCGCCTGACACGGGACTCAATCCCAGGAGCCCGGGACCATGACCTTAGCTGAAAGCAGACGCTTAACTCACTGAGCCAGCCAGATGCCCTATGAAGCTGTTTTGGATGTTGTGATGATGACAACCATCATTGATGTGCTCACACACAGCATTCACGGTGGAAGTTACGATGTGCTGAACCCCACTATGCGCTGGGCCCTTCTCATGTGTGATATCATTCACTCCACAGCAATTCTATGAAGGAGGTACAAAGTCACAGCTCCATTTTATATTGTCTAGATAAGGACAGTAAGACCCAGGGATGTGAAACCCCATGCCCAATGACAACCTGCTGCTAAACGGCAGGGTCAGATTTCAAACCCACAAGCTCTCCCCTTTTCACTGCAATCCACACCTCCTCTGGGCTGTTTGGCTTGTTTCTACATTACCTACCCTCCTCTTCCAGCAGGAGGGAATGCCTTTCTTCAATCAATGCTTCAAATGGCTTTTGAAAGTGTCAAACCTGCTAAAACCTTTTCTGCAAAGTTTCAGGGAAGATAACATACTGGCTTTCCCTCATACGATGTTCTTCCTTTTTGATCTTCTACACAAAAATAACCAC